GAAAAATTCTCCCGCACGTGCGGAAAAATTCTCCCGCACGTGCTTTTTAAGCAGAACCAAACCTTCAAAATTCAACATTTGCCGCACGTGCGGCAGTGACTCCCGCACGTGCGGCGATTCCCCTGTTTTGGTCCGAAATTTGCAACAAAAACACAACTTTTGGTACATCATCTCAAGGCTCACTTTAGCATGTTCAATTGATAGTCAATAACATAAAATCCATGTTAATAGAACCCTCAAATACATACATTAATCTAGTTAGAACTAGTTCTTAAATTCTCACCCACAATCTAATTTCCTTTTTGCATCCAAAATCATACAACATCATAACTATATACATATATATATATATATATATCTATACTCTTCATGACTTTCATGAGTAAATAAGACATAAAACTAGTTTCTCCACAAACATGCATAAGCAACTCAATTAAACATCAATCAATTGAGGAATTTACTTTCATCTCTACACACTCTAATTTACCCAATCATTCAAAAAGAGATAATTTGAGAGAGAACTCAACAAGAGAGGGATTCCAGCAACATACATACCTTGAATCTTGAATTTTACAATCCCTCACAAGATTCTAATCTTCTCTTCTTGAGGATTTCCCCTTCCTCTCTAGAGCATTTGTTCCCTCAAGTTGCACCAATGCTTGTTTCCTAGCTCTGTAACATTTCATTTTGGGTACTTCTACAACACAATCATCTTTCATAGTGTCCTTAAACTCATTTATTTTCCAGGTAGGGGTGGTCCTGAATTTATTCACATATTTAGATACTAAAAATGCACTAGTTACTTGTCTGTTCTTGTAACTTCTGTTGCAAGTATGTGTAGGTTTATATGTCTTAATCTGCAATGTGTTCTCTTTACTCATCTTAGAGCCATAAAACCTCCACTCACACCCATCACTACAGTTGATTTGAACCTTCCATGTCTCACTTTCTATGAATTTGACATCATAACCCCTTTTCACTGTATATTTCCTCATAGTATCTCTAAATTCAATGGCATTATTAAACAACATTCCAATTTTAAATTCAAACTTAGCCATATCAACCTCAAGCCTAAATTCAAGGTACTTTGGCTTCTCATTACCCTCCTCACTATATCCTTCAGGGGTTAGTAATTCTTCCTTAGATGAATCCCCATCATTCATAACACATTTCTCAAATGCATTGCCTCTTTCTCCATTTGGTTCCTTCTCTACATTACCATCAAACATGATCCTCAGTAGGGTCATCCTTATCCTCATTACTAGCTAAGAAATCACTATCTGATGAGTCATCATTTTCCTTATTTTCACTGTTTGTTTCATCTTCATAATCATGATACTGAGGATGTTGAGCATTTTCATCCTCATTTACAGGGACATCAGTAAGGAACAAAACAGGATAAGAGGTGTCTATATTGTGTGGCACAGATGCTTAGCAAATAATTCTAAGGTGTTTGCAGAGCCCAGATATTGAAACATTTCTAAAAAACCTTAGTCAGTACCTAATCTTCTTAATACTCTAACCAGATCTTCTGTGGGAATCCTTTAAAAAAAACTGTTTGTAATCACATATCCCAACCTCATGATCATAAATATCAGCTCAGGCACAGAAAATGTATCAACATCAATAGTATCAAACACATGTACTTTACCCCCAAAGTAACTCCTAGGCCCACCATCACTATCTATAAAGTACCCACTATGATGTAAAACCAATTTCAAATTTATATATCATCCATTGCTGCATTCATAAATAAACAAATATATCACAAACAAACAAAAATGCATAAAAAATCAATGGACTGAACATGTGGCATGGGACCAACAATGGAGATAAAAATTTGATAATTCAGTGGTCCATCACTTAGTCAATGTAGTGGTCCAACCACTCAGTCAATGTAGTGGTCCATTAATGGAGATAAAAAATTTGACAAAGCATCCAAGACAATAAAGTAACCAACACACACACATATCCATGCAATAAAGTAAGATACAAACACAGAGTTTGCTATTACTTTATTCACAGAATCAGAAAAAGAAAAAACAAAATTTCATATACAAATTACAAGAAGAAAGAAATTACAAGAAGAAAGAAACAAAACAAATTGTATAAATCACTTACCAACACTCCAAATAACAGTAACCAGCAGTACTTCAAACTCTGGTCCAGATTTTCTTCCAAATTGCAACAACCCTTTTGTCTTAAATCGACGAAATCGAAGAAATTAGGGCAAATTGTAGCCCTAATTTGTGAAATTTAGGATTCGGGGGCTTTTATATGGGTCTAATAAGGAACAACGTCGTTTTGGGTTGGTTTAGGCGCCAAAAATGGCTTTCTCTGTTACTTCATGAAACAGAGATGGACGGAGGGCTTACATTGTGACACAGAATAAATTACAGGGTTCTAATTGTCAAAATTAAAAACCTGGGGTTTAATTTGCAAAACACGCTAAACCTTGAGGTTTTATTTGTAATTTGACCCTAAATTTTTTAGCAAACCTCTCACATGGGTGTGGGACCTACACAAATCACATGTGCATGGGTGTCACACCTATGTAAGAAGTTTGGTAGAAAATTTGGTAATTTATTTGGGGTCCCTAGTATAACTCAATAAATTTTTATGTTATTTTTTATAATAATAATTTTTTTGAATTGAATTTTAAAAAAAGTTTGGTCATGAGTTTTGAACAAAATTTTTAATAGACTATTGAATTGTGTGTTTGTTTATGAGTGATAAATTTTTGAATTAAGTTTTGAAATTTTTTTCTAAAACTCATAACCAAAAATTTCCCATTTCAAAAATTTAAAACTCAATTCAAAACTCATAAATAAACAAATTTTCTTTTTTCAAATCAAAATTCAAAACCTCACAAACTCATGGTGCAAATCTAGCCCGGCCCGACCCATGTCAGGCTTCGTGGGCTCCTACCAAAATTCGAGTCGGGTTACGAGCCAATAAATTAGGCCCAAGCCCAGTGATATTAAGGCTTGGGCCTGGCCTCGGGCTTGGGTCTGACAAATTTTTTTTGTTTTTTCAAATTTTTTCTATCAAAATTTTATTATTTTTCACTAAAAAAAACACCTGGCCTTGGGTGGGCCTTAAGCGGTCCAATGGACTGAGCCACGGTCCGGGCTTCAAAATGATGGCCCAGGCCCAGGCCCAAATGGGCCTCAACAGGCCAGGCCCATCCCGGGTTTCAAGCTGCCCACAAACTGCAGGCCATTTTTGCCCTCCTACACATATTCAAATTATAACTCCGCACTCAAATTATAATTTCAAAAGCAAACCAAACGCTACTTAAAAATGTAAATAATATGACAATTGAATTTTATTGTAGATTAATTGAATTAAAAATCACATTCTAAATCATGAATATTACAAAACAAAATAACAAAAGATACTATAAAAATATGATTTTTATTTTGCGTCTCTATTCTCATCAACCAAACGGAGAAAATGAGGCTACGGAAATGAAGAGAGAGAGGAGGGAAAAGAAAGTGCCATGGGGACAATGGGTTTATAATTTTTTTTTATTCTTCATTTTTAGTATTTTTTTTTCCAAATTCCCATTTTTTAAATAAGTTTTCCAAAAAATAATATGATACAGTATAAAGTTTGGATTAATACATTACATTACTTTATGTCAATCCCAAAAGAATAAAATTAGAAATATCATTCTTAATCGCTTACTTAAAATGAAAATAAATAGACACCATAAGATGATATGAGTGCACTTATATTGTAAATTGTAAACAAAAGAACCACTATTTCAAAAGACACCATAATTGCATTTTATTTTTATTTTATACCAAAGTGATGTGTAAATAAAAATGTTTTTCAAAATTTTCAGACTAAACACACGTAGAATTCACTTTTATAACTCAAATATCTTTTCCCTCCCTTATGCTATGTTTGGTTGGGGGATTTGAGGAGGGATTTGGAAAGGGAAATGGAAAAGATAGGTGAAATGTAAATAAAACATGCCTATATTTCACCTAGTTTCACACACCTTTTCCCTTTCCCTTTCCAAATCCCTCCCTAAATCCCCCAACCAAACACAGCGTTAATGAGAATGCTAGTTATCATATCTAGCGACCTATGAACTGGGTTTCGGACCAATGCACAGTCCAACCCATATATTTAAGTAATTTCATTTATGACTAAATCAAATAAATGAAGAATGAACTAGGCCCTTGATTCAATCTTACTCATGTTAGAATTTTTACAATAATGGGATGTGTTACCGTAAATTTGAATTTGGTGTTAGTCAAGATTCAAGAATAATTGCCCATTGACATCACAAAAATATTACTTTGATCTATGTACCTACTTTTAAGCCATGCTTGTACTTGAATTTGAATAAGAATTTGTAAAGAAAGGAAAAAAGAAACAAAACATTAGCTTTTATTTTTGTCATTTTTCTTTTCTCATTTCTCATTTCTCTACAAATCCTTACTAAAATTTAATATCCAACATTCGATTCTGTCAATAAAGTGATCAGCAAACACTCACTCTACAAACCCCTCCAGGTGTATGATGCGACTCAATGCCAACATTTCATTTTAAAACAAAAAATCCATAATGGCTTTTATTTACAAGAATGACCTCATATCTATCTCGTCATATGCACACAATCTTCTGTCATTGAAGAATTAGGGCTTTCTAATTTCTCAGACACCATCCTGTCAAGGAAAGGGGTGGAAAAAATTGCAGAGAAAGGTGTTTTGTTAACAAATGTTCCGAAGCACAAGAAAATGACAAAAATGAGGAACACTAAATTTCACAGATTTCAAAACATTTTAACCATTTTAAAAACACTTTACAGATGTAAACCAATGCCCAGGAGGCACTGGTTAGTATTTTCCATACAAGAACTAAGAAAATAATGATAATGTGAATCTTCAGCTAACCTTGACATTCCAAATCTCACAATTGTGTTTGTGAAAATCAAAAGAATGACATGAAGTTCTCCAACAGAAACATGATTAGAAATGCATTTTCAGAACAAACTGTGAATATCAGTATGTACAGCACATACAATTGAAAAGAACATCAAAACTGCCTCTATTTAAATCATTAAAGTTCCTCAATAGATTATCATCATCATAATTGTCACCTCATCATCGAATTGTGTTTCACGGTCTAAAATATTTTGAAGAGATTAAAACCAGAGAAAACAACAGCCAACACCACAAATCCACTGAACTTGGATAATCACCATAGTTCCTTTCATACAAATTTCCCAAAGCCAGCTTAGGGAAAGCACAAACCAAACTATCAGCCTGAAAAATTAACTCCATGTTTTGTACTTAAATAATCCTGACCATAGAAATCATTACCTGTTGGCGGCTGAATCAAGAGAGACTTGAACACTCCAGCAAGCTACAAAGACACGCTCCGGCAAGCAGTAACCACCTTCTAGACATGACTTTCCGGTACATGCCTTTTTTGATCCCGTTCTGAGTATCCAATTCTGCCCAACCTGTTTCTATCTTCTGGAAATACATGGTGATTATGGTGGTGGGCCCCAGGAACTACATAATCATGCCGCTGCTGCTTTCCCTCCAGTGGTCTGTCTGGTGGGCTTCCCGCCTTTCTCTTGCGATTGCTCGACTTTGGTGATCGATATCCATGGCCAGCATCATCGAATCCCGCCAGCTCACCTTCTTCCACATTCTCAAAATCTTGTCCATGTGAGGACTGCCCTTTCATTCCTTGATGTGTATTCTCATGATCTGGCAAGTTCGAAGATTTGGACCAGCTTTGCCTCCTCTCCCGCTTGACCTTCTCACTCTCCGCAGCCATTTCAATACCATCTTCCAGTTCCCTCTCGATGAGATCATCCTCGTCCATCACGTCTGTCTTCCGACTTACATCACCACGAGACTTTCTCCGTTTCTCTAGTGCTGCCTTTACCTTGTCTTTGTCAATCTTTTTCATAGCTTCTTGGGGTGACTGGCCAAGTGTACCATCTCTCAGCTCCACATTTCGGACATGGGCTTCTCTTGTTTCACGTCTCCCAGCATTGTTCCTTTCTTGATCTTCTTCACTGTGTCCTTCCAAACCAAACCTAGAATTTTGGACTTCCTCCATGTTTTCCTGGTAATGTGACTGCTCTGATTCATGGTGTTGATTAACAACCTCACCATCACCTTTTTGGTCTGAAACACTCTTTATCTCGGTGCTTCCATAGTCATTGCTTCGATTTTGGATGGTTTTCGAAACCCCACCATGACTATCAGCGTATGAATGATCAGGGACAGACCGAGATGATGCTGGCTTCAAGGCTCCAGGCTTTGAAGTTGTACCTCCACCCTGAGAATTACTATTATTTGTTGCATGTTCATCATTGTCATAAGGATCTTTTGAAGGGGCTCGATGACTAACCGCAGCACCAGAACTTCCTTCTACTTCACTTGCCTGAGAAGCCGGTAATCTGTTTTGTTCATACAGTTCTAGCATTTGATTGCTAACCTCTGTACAGAATGAACAATTAGAGTAAGATGTCACATCCAATCTCCAATCAATCATATGAACAAGCCATAAAAATCATATAGCACTCCAATTGCAGTTAAAATTGCATGGATAAGTAGCATTGTACCATTACTGTGATACCACAGGGTATACAGGAATTTAGAAAACAGTAATTTAAAATAAAAAGGATCAACAAAGAATATATTATGAAATAAATAAATGTAAAAATCAACAAAGAATTTGCATAAAATTGTCAAACATACATTTAAAAAACAAAAGAGCTCGAGCCTTTATCTTAAAGATATATTATGAAAGATTTCTTTTTCTATACAGAAAATAATAATGGACCCTAAATAAAGAGCTCAAATAAACTTTTCCGCTCAAAGTTACACAAACCATTCAATTAAAAAGAGTTAACAGTTTAGTGTCAAATTGCATAATGTTTCCTAAAATTGACATAAGCAAGAAACAAAAATCTAATGAAACTATATTGAAAAAAAAATAAAAAATAAAAAGGTCCAAAAATAAACACTGAAAAAAAACAATAAATTTAATTATTGAGAAATTTGAGAGAGAATGTTTATGCTTTATACATATAGTACCATAAAATTGATGCTTGATACATATAGTTATGTAGAGATAGAGAGAGTAATGAAGGATGACGAACTATGGAAACTTTTCAAAATAAATAAAAGTAAAATTAAGTGATATATAAATACATATTTCATCTCAACTGACATAAACATCACCACCAGTTAAGAAGAAAATATGATAATCTTCTTTCTTAGACCCAAAAAGGAAATACAAAAGAAGTGAATACATAACATTAAAAGAAGAAAAAAAGGAGACGCTGTCTGTTCAGCGTCCACATGGTGGTGATTTAGGCCATATATGTATGTATGACGAGACTTTATCCAACTAAACAAGGAAGAATAGTGGGGAACTATAGGTGTGCAATATTGCTTTTCAAAGGCAAGCAAGCAACCAACCCTCCAATTGGCGCGGGGTGACATCAAACTCCTGCCACCACTTCTCACCGTCGGATGGGAGCTTTACTTTGAGAAACTTGGCAGCAAGGAAAATGGCACCTGCTGCAATGTGGTGGGGCATAAATTGCAAGCAAAGAGATGTCCGCAGCCTGCATGCCGCTTTCCCAGGTCAAAAAGAGACAAGGAAGAATGACCATGGATGGGCATTATATAAAAAGAACAAGGAAGTTGTCATTACCCATCATTGACAAAATTCCATGCAACTTGAGCAAGGGCATTTTGAGCAACCTTGAATTTCTTTATTGCCTCAACAAGGGGCTTATATGGATGATGCACATTAAGATCAAAACCTAGAGTTGCAAGTACAATCCTCTCTCCCAATAAAATTAGTTCTTTTTGTTGTTCATATGCCTCCTGCATGATGGATGTCAACATGTTAAATAAGTAAATAACTATGAAGTCTAAACAATTAATTTAATACTTTAAAAGATCACCAAATTTACTTAAAAATTAAAAAAGGGGCTAATTTCACTTTTATCCCCTAAACAAGTGCCATTTTTTCTATTTCATGCTTAACCTATCAACTTCATCTATTTAGCCCCACCTAGAGCTTTTATTTTAGTGAATATTGTCAGATTGGAGACCGCCCATCCAAACCAGTAACAGTGGAAGTCTTACCTAATGGGCAAAAGGGGAATTTTACAATTTGTACAACATAAATCATACAATTAAACACTGAACTTCTTACTCACGCCAGTCACACTATATTAGACAAATTATACCTTCAACCAAACATCCTTCGTCTTCTTCACCCAAATAGTGAGTAAAAAAGTGTTTCACTATATGGTTTAAGTTGTTCAAATTTTGAAATGACATTTTACCCATCAAAATAGGCTTTTTACTAATTTGGACAATCGTCTCCAATTGAACAGCATTAGCTGAAATCAGACACTTTAAGGACTAAATAGATAAAATTGATAGTTTAGGGATGAAATAGAAGGAAAAAAATGGCAATAATTTAGGGGATAAAAGTGATATTAACCCTTAAAAATAAGGTAAAGGAAAGATACATATGGCAATCATGTTATATTCTACTAGCAACTTAGCAAGTGCCATTAACCTTTGTTGTGCTATACACATTATAAGAAGAGGGTACAGAAGATGGGCCTATAAAATATGGATCGTGACAAAACATGCAAGCTCAAGTGGAGAATATGTGAATAAGAGACAAATAAAAAATTAGAATAAGTAGAACAAGCACTTAACACAACAAACTGTACCTTTTGCTTGATCCTTTGTACTGCAGCAGGATCCTTTTTATGAATAATTTCATAAGAAACAAGTATAACATCCTTTAATGGGCGAGGAGTTTCTTCCACCTTCCCCGCAAGAAACATACATACTGTTGCGATAGTCTGCAAGAAATTTTTGGAGAAGTTAGGTGCCAGGATTAAACATCTGCCAAAAGCCATACATGAATTCAATGTCTTTCCTTCATCATTATGCCCATTTTGTTATTGGTGTGAGCATTGAAAAGGAACAGCAACATATAATGCAAGTAAATGCCGTTCACATTATATTTACTAAATCCCAATGTTCCCAGTGATATCTTGCCCATGTCATAGTTGGAACTAAGAAAAATCACATACCACTTAGTTAAGATTCCCAATTAGACACAAAAGGAATAGGCAGTTAAATTCTACAAAGGGAGTGGCATTTGATGGAATTTTAATTCAGGGATAGTGGCAACTGCATCGAAACTCTAATATAAGTTATTTTGCTCACAGGGCAAAAGGTGTCAAAGAAATCAATGTCTTCTCTTTTATTAAAGCCTTTGACTACAAGTCTAGCTTTGTTCAAGAAGTCAGTTTTGAGCCATCTACTTAACCTAGAAATGAAGATGATCTTGAGACTCAACCAAGGTGGAGCAGAAGAGGTGCAGTTGTAAAAGACTATGGCCCTGACTATTACATCTACAATGTCACGGTGACACTACATCCTTAGATGGGGCCTTATTATATTCGTATGCAGACCTTTGGAGAGAAGCCATCAATAATGGAATTGACTCTAATTTTCAATAAAACTTGGAAGTTAGTGTACTTACGAACAGGTTGTGAAAATATAAGGAGTAAATGTGTATTTTGGAGAAAATTAAAGCCTGAGGCACAATTAGTTCAAACAGCCTTCACCAGCATTAACTGTCAGGAATATTTTATTCATGTTCTATCTACCCTGTAAATGCCCTTCACATATTGTTTTACTAAATGCCAATATTCCTAGCAATATATTATTAAAGTCATTGTTGCAACTAAATAAATAAAAAAATCTTATTAAAAGGAAAAAAATCAAATACCACTTAGCTAACATACCTAATTAGTAACCAAAGGAATAAATCAAATACCAACTTGCTAAAATACCTAATCAGTACGCAAAATAAGAGGTAGTTATATGCTACAAAGGATAGATAACTCACCCTCCTGTCATTCTTTGCATGTGACTGACGAAGGAAAAAACGATGACAGAAAATTATTGCAGTGGCTATTGTTACCTGAGGCCTGCATTTGAAAACATTCACTATCACATATGTTCAGAAAAAAATAAAAAACTTCAGCTGCATTAGTGGCATACAAAGTTACGAGACAAAAAGCAATACACACTACACAGGCTTTAAATGAGAGAACTAAGATGATGATTAACATCATTGCCTTATGTGCCATAGACATAAACCTATTAAAAACTAGACGTGGTACACAAAAAAAACTTCACCTCAAGTTTGGGACATAATCACTAGGTGCCGTTTGGTAACACTTACGTTTTCAGTTTTCTGTTTATATTTACAAAAATTTTAAAAACTCAAATAAAAACTTGTTTGGTAAAGCAGGGGTAAGGTATAAAAAATGTTCACTATTTGTTATCTCCTAGTTTTAATCTTCATTATCTCAAATAATTCTACAAAATCAATGGAGATCAAATCGATAGAATTGTAAAGAGCTTTTGAATTATATCTAATATTGTGTGATGTGATCCTTATCTTAAAGGTGTGCTTACATGAGTCTTTTCTTTCCATTTTTTTTTTGGTCTACTAACCCCACCCCCCCCAAAACAACCCACCCACAACGCAATCACCTGTTGCCCATATACTCCAAAAGCACATATAAGTTTAAACCCATTTGCCAACTCTTAAACATCTTATATTACAAGCCAAACCCCCTTCCTCCCCTCAAGCATTTATCGATAGGCTCAAAACTACAAAATAAGCTAAAAGCACTCAAGTACTGTTCATAGACCTAATCCTTAAGAACAGCACTTTAACAACCTTTCCATTCCCAAAACCTTACCAATTTGTCAAACATAGAAACTCAACCTAACAAGCCTCAATCCCAACCACTCAAAGTCAGTAACAAAGATCCATTTTATCCAATTGGCTTCATCCAAAGTAATATCCTCGATTGAGTTTACATCACTTCAACTCATGTAATTCTTAACCTTCACCTTGCCCTTTTGGCACCTTCTATGTGGATCATAATACTTCTCTTTCACAGATGTACTTATCCAAAATAAATGAAACACTCCTCAATATGAACGCAATTATATAATCAATGTTGCTCATGTCCGAACCACCCAATCATCTCTCTTATTTTATCTTCAATACAAGCCACTTCTAACATGAATGTATTCATTTATCACCCACATAAAAGCCAACCTCTATAATCTCACCAACCCTTCAGCCTGAATACTGAATAAAATCAATCTTATAAAGCCTCTTTCCATGCAGCTCTACATCAAATTTGGGGGAGAACTTATACTTGTCCTACAACCCACCACCAACCCCAAATTACTCCTTTATATTTCACAGCACCAGAATAGTCCATGAATCATCCTTCCATATCTAGTTGACAAAACAATATGCTAGCCTTTGTCACGTTCTTTAAACACTAAAACTATCTTTTACCATCAATTGCAGACATAAATCTAAAGTAACCATCCCTAAATGACACCCTTTCAATGCATTCACTTCCCAACATCATTGTATCAGTGGTTATAGATTATTATTTATAACTAACATATTTCAAAGGCCCAGTATACCCAAGGAACATACACAAGAAGATGATAAACTTGATGACAAACTTTAAAGCTACTACTGACAGCTCAATCAAATTGCTTGACTATGGAATTTGGCTATCAGTGAATTTGAAAGACTTTGTTTACTAAAAATTTCCTTGCTAATAATAAAGGTGATGTTATTGGAAACCATGTCGATGCAATTGGAAATTTCTAAGCATTTATCATACAAGTAACTTGTTTCGTGCAATTATCAAGGTTAGTTCATTTACTCATTTAAACTAAACAAGTACAAACCAAAATAGAATTACAACCACCATATATCTACAGGTATGTATGTAATTTTAAGCAAGCAGTCAAAATCAGCAATTGCTTATAACCAAAGAAAAGAAGAGGGTAAACAAACTCATTATTCAAATTGCTAGCACAAGGACTTACACTTTAAGCCTCATGCCCAAATCTTGTAAGAATGTACAGTATGATTTGCGTAGGTAAGTCTCTTTCTTCAAATCAATGCCATCTCCTCTGGATGGGGAATTTTCTTCTATTTCCTTCCTAAAGAAATACCAACGGCCACCATCATCTGGCTTCTCCTGAGAAAATTTGTAGGGCCCACCTTCAGGCATTCCATGATGTGAAGGATCACCAGACAACAAACTAGCCATGTGTATCTCTTTCCGCCAAATGTATCTCTGATTTATATGAAAGCTCTGATTTTTTTTTCTTAAATGGGACACCTCACCAAATAATTGTTCTCCTTACCATCATCCAGTAGCATACTGTCTGCAGATTAACATAGTAAGTCAGGAAATTAGGTTCTCAGCAAATGAAATAGCTTGCAGAAGTTTCTAAAGTGAGCATAAAGATGCATAGAAAGAATAACTATCAAAACAAAACCATCCTAAACTCAAATATTACTGACAGTCACGTAAATTTCTTATTGGATGTATAACCGCACATTACACACTGGGCTTAATGCTAATGTTTTATCTTTTCACGAGGCTTAGCCCAAACCTGGAACTCTGATTTCCATAATTAAAATGACAATTTATAAAATGGGGGCTATGATACACACAATATGCAACATAGACCAATCACACTTGGGAGGCATTAAACAGGAAGGCAATTATAAAGTGTTGAATAATGTCAAAGCCTCTTAAATTACTTTCATAGCAAGGATGCATTATGAAAAAACACCTCCCACATTACCGCAAGTCCATCTTAAAGACTATTCCTTTTACATACCAGTTAGACTTCATATTTTCTAGTCTAGAGATGTTTATTGGCAAACAAAATTTCATTCATAGCACAAATGCAATTTCATTCTACACCACTTGCATTCATAACATAAATTCATTTAGTACCACAAAAATGAAGAATGCAAAGGAAGTAAAAATATTAACATAATAAGCACACGAAGCCCTGCTCTCAAAATAAGGCCCCGTTCGGGGACTTGGGTTTGTCGTCAAAAAGACCAAAAGCCAGTATAAATTATCACATCACTCTCTCTACTTTTTACACATCTTTTTCCTAAAAAGACAAAAAAAATCAACTAAAATGGCCAATTCCCAAATGGGGCCTAAATAAACAAATAAAGATCCACTTCTGTTGGGTTTCCCTTTTTATACAAATACTGCTCCGTCTGGTTCAATATCAAACAATTTACTATGCTAAAGAGTTGTGACTATAAAATTTGTACAGGAAAATTAATTATTTGCCTCCTAGTTCTGGACATTTGGGTGATCCATTCATATCATCGAAGAGTTGATGGGAAGACCAAAAAGAACAGAGCAGAACAGAAATTAAACCCTAATTGAACACTGAAAATCGTGGAAGCGACCTGACCTAGGTTTCACAAATTGTACGCATATAATTATGGTTACGGCTAATTCTCACATAAACAGCCTTTTCATTAGACCCTAAGCTTCCAATCTCTCAATTAGAAGAGATATAGGCATACTGAAGATAGAAATGCTGTAACAGAACGATTAAACAGAGAATCTGAGTCATTATCGATACAGTACATATCAAAATATACACAAATACATAGAGAGAGAGAGATAGAGAGAGAGAGAGAGAAGATAGACCTGGTGAGGGAAAATTGATCGCTTGGGAATTTAGCTGGAATCCCAAACTCAGAACCTCCTCTCTCTTTGGGCTTCGAAGCAGTATCGAAGAATGAACTGTCCTTCCAACCCTAGCTAGCGCTATAATTGACAAATGTTTGTGTGTATTGTGTTTGTGTGTATGTGTGCCCAGCATATAAAGGCAATAAAAGTAATCCGGTTCACCGTTGTAAGTCCACGGTCAAACCGGTTTCCGGTTCACACCAATCTTTTACTTGTTGTACAATTTATTTTTATTTTTATTTTTATTTTAGTTAAATTATACATACACTCTTTAAAATTTTACTCATTAAAATACAATTTGTCTTTTGTGATTTAAAAAATCACAAATCGTCACTTGTGAGAAATTTTTATTTAACCAAATTAATTGAAAAAATAAAATTTTAACTGCTCTCTTATACAATAATAAAATTACATGAGCTATTAATTAAAATAAATTTATAACATTATTAAAAACTATCAATTGCCTTAATGATTTATTAATAAAGTTGATTATTTGTTATGAAATTATAAACTTCAAAGACGAGATGTAATTTCTATAATCACACAAGACAAATCGTATTTTAAGTAAATCTCAACGGGTATATTTGTAATTTATCCTTTATTTTTGTAAATTATATTTTCCTTTATTTTTAAATTAAAAAAATGGTTAACTTTCTTAAACCCGACAAATATGCTTTTTTTACTAATTTTTTAGATTTTACATGTTAGAAAGAATTATAGAATAGTTTTTTTTTAATCATCACTTACATAGTTTCTAGGGATAATTTTTTTTTTTTACTCATCCAAAACTTGACAACATATGATACTAATAAAGCCACATAATTTCTTTGGACTTTCGATTTACTTAATTTTAAATTTTGTAAAAATTATTTGCATGCCCCACTCAATACCAAAAATAACCTCTACATTCACAACCCCTACCTCTAACCCTAACTAGGGTCCGGCAAAATACTATTCAATTTACTAAAATCGCATCAATCCGTATCAATTCACACTATTTTATCCACTAACCACAGTTTTAATTTTAAAATTTATAATCCGTCTTCATAACCGTTCTACGTCGCTATAGTTAATACATATATATTTTTTAACCTATAATAAAATATTAAAATAAAAATGAGAGTGAAATAAATTTAAAATTTAAAATTTATTACAAATTAACAGTCATATATATAAAAAATATTATGTAAAATTAGTTTCTGTTATATATAAAAATAATATTATGTAAATTAATATTATATATTATGCAAAAACTTGATAACTGGTTAGAATATCTTTCAATTCGCTCCAAACCGTTCAAACCGCAATTTGCCAATCTGCTTACCCATCATTTAATTTATAATTTTACTCTCAAACCGTCTGAACCACACCACGCACACCCCTAACCCTACCCATACCACCAACCACCGCTACTAAATCTGGTCATCACCCCCAACCCATCCCTACATTCCATCACCCACTCCTCAACCCTTGTGGATAATGAAATCGTAATAGATAAACAGAGAAGTTACGAGGCAATAGAGAGTCACAAGTATAGAGATGTGATAAATTGCCAATATAGGGTTACTATCGTGGGGTTGCAAGAAAGGGGGGTTGTGGCGAAGGGAGGAGGGGTTGGGTGTGTGTAGAGGATGGGAAGAGGATGAGAGATGCTAGGGAGGAGCGATGAGGGGTTGGGGGAGACAATTGCGGTAAATAGGTAATTTGGGGAAGCTCACAGGAAAATTGGTGGAATAATTTCTCTTCTTTTTTTTTTTGCCCTTTTCACTTTTCCTAAGTTCCAAATCCAAATTGATTGATTGTGGATTTCAGTGTGCAAGCCTTCTTTAAGTTTGCAGTTGTAGCAGCGCACACAAAATTTTCAGAACCGGTGCACATATGTGAGACAAAATCATTGTTTAAAGAAGACTTCACATTTGCATTCAAGTTCTATGAAAAATTCCACTTATTTGTCTCACATTTGTGCCCAGTTCTATGAAAATTTTATGTGAATGCTTCAATAATTCCATTGTATTAGGAGAAACATGCATATACATCACTGAAAAGCAAACTGCAATACATTCCATCACTAGTAATATCCTTCTCTGTACATGCTATACATGATACAAAGGTGACAAACTTATATTATACAAATAAAATAAAGGAAAAAGTCATTCATTTACAGTATAGTAATCTCATTTCATGCAATGTATTTGATGAGCAACGATCTCAGTTTTCTTCCCTTCAGAAATAGCAGCCTTCACCTACCTTCTCCGATGATCTCTTCAAGCGTAGAATTAGTGACATTTATCGGTGAATGATCTGTGTCAGCCGCCATTCTTGTTGTACTAGTCGATGAGCTGTAGTGGCTGTAGTCATTTTTTGCAGTATCAGCAGTATCATCACTCATAAAACTGGTTTTATCATTAAATTTCCAGTCAGTCAGATATCCGGGCCGCGAAGTTACATCACTAACTTCAATGTCTCCTGAAAGCATTGCCACTACACGGGACATGGATGGTCGTAGCGTTGGGGATGTTTGAGTGCACAAAAGAGATACTCCTATCACTCGTTTTACTTCTTCCTCATTGAATTCAGATAAATTTGCATCCACTAGCTCCACTCCATGGTTATTTTCATGTAGATTCCAAGCCTAAAAGGAGGCAAGATTAAAAACACGTCATAAGAATTCAAGATGAGAAAACCGTACATTCGTGTAGTTGTAGTTGGAGCAGTGCATCCCATGTTGGGCACTTGTATTAGATGTGGATTGTGTTTGAATGAAAAATGGCAAAGATAAATTCAAAATTGGATTTGGAGAAATATGGAAATGATAACAGATGTATTGTTTCTCAAAGTACTTGAACGAGTAGCCTTTGTTTTTCATAGCATAGAACCGAGCCGTTTGTTTTCCTGATTGTATTTCTAATTTTATTTGGTTAGTACAAGAACTCAAGAAAAGAAAGTTTAGAAAAATCTTATATTTATTCGACGTGATAATTGTTTCCAAAAGCATGAAAACAACCATAGTTAAGCCCTACTGTTGCAGGATAATGAAGTTTCAACAACATAGTTTTTTCTACATTTCTTTAAACTAACACACTGTTTAAAACAGAGGGACTTATTCAATTTCCATGCAATTGGAACATTTCAAAGGATAAATGTGTATTGGGCGAAGAAAAAAAATGAATCATGATTCATACCCATTCAAGAAGATATATCTTATCATCCTCCAAGCTTGAGTCAGAATTTAGCCTTCCACTGACAATCTCGAGAGCTACAACACCAAAGCCAAACACATCGGCCTTTTCTGTGAGGTGCCCACGCATAGCATACTCAGGTGCAAGATACCCGCTGTATTAGCAACATAAAAGGCACCACTTTTAGGATATTACTTCAGCTGTGAACAATATCAAGATATTATAAATTAACTAATAAAAGGAGAAATTTATGGAGCTTGACTGATGAGAACTTTACATTGTCCCTGCAACACGAGTGCTTATGTGGGTCTTTTTGTCATCATAGAGTTTGGCCAAACCAAAATCAGAAATTTTGGGGATGAGATCAGAGTCGAGAAGAATATTGCTGGCCTTCACATCTCTGTGTACAATGCGAACCCGTGATTCCTCATGAAGATAAGATAGACCCCTTGCTACTCCCAAGCATATATCAAAACGAGAGGGCCAGTTAAGGTACAAAGTTTTCTTTCCTGATTCATAAATGACAAATAAAGTTAAATATTTTCTGATCTCAATATTCAAAATTTCTACAATATATAGAAATGTTAAGGTAATATCATTATACGAAATAGTGCTTGATCAAGACTCTTGTTTTCAAGATACTCGTAAACAAGCAATCGTTTATCTCCCTCAATGCAGCATCCATATAATTTCACAAGATTTCGGTGTTGCACAGCAGATATTGTAGCAATCTCTGTGACAAATTGATTCTTTCCCTGGTGGGATGCCACAGAAAGTTGCTTAACAGCAACCACCCTCCTATCATTGAGTGTTCCCTGTTGAATACAAAAAACTTCAAAACTTGAGTTTATAAATAAATAAAAAAAATAGCAGAGGTTTGAATTTTCCATAATGTTATTTCTACAAAAATTGCAATGGACCGTAGCCAGCTGCCATGTCACAATGATTTAAAAATAAAAAAAGAAAAAAGAGGTGATTTGGCAAACTGTGATCTTCAACTAAGAAATTATGGAAACCCATAGAGGAACAGTAATTACAAGTCAAACGATTGGTACCAGTTTGTAAAGCGATATTAAGGGCTGGATGACAGCTTGTTCTTGATTAGAATAATGACTTACCTTATAAACAGGTCCAAAGCCTCCCTCCCCGAGTTTGTTTGCAGGATTAAAATCTTCCGTTGCAGCCCTGAGTTCAGCATAACTGAAAGTGTAAGGTCTAGCATCAATCCCTAGGAGCTCTGCAAGTTCAATACAAACTCTTGGTTGTGAATATCTTTAGGAAGTCATAATTATGTCTTATGAATTTAGTAAGCTTATAACGATGCTCATGATCCCAAAATAGTTTTTGCTTTAAACAAATTTTATGTAACAAACAAATAGCATTTAGGAAGCCTGATTCTGCATCTAACACACATACACAGACACAGACAAGAAATTTTTAAGCAGAACTTAGAAAGCATTTTCACTGACAGACTAGAGCCACAAATGGGCAAACAACATATCTGTTGTGGACAAAGAAGTCAGACTGCAATAATAAACTTGGCTTACTGCTTTTTTAAATTTGTACCTTCTTCCTTATTCTTGTGTGCCCTTTTTCTTCTCTGGATGAAACAATATAACATAAAAGTAGACAGAAAGGTTACAACTGCAACAGGAACAACTATCCCTACAATCAAACCAGTCTTGTTCTTCCTGGTTGGAGTTGGAGGGTTGTTGCTAACAGTGGGGTTGAAATCTGTACAAAAGCTTAGTTGTCAAAAACTTGGCATCAAATTAATGTACTAAAATATCAGATTTAAATTTCTGATCTCATATCAAATATTTTGTAATCATATTACCTGGAGTGGCACTGATTGCTGAAATAGAAGGTCCGTATGTACCTTGAGTAGGTATACAACAAGTCCCCTTACCAGCCCAAAAGAGATGGATTTCAAGATAGTTTTCTGATACCTGAACCGTAAAATCCTTCTGAACAGCTTGGAAAGAGGCTTCACGTCGCTCCCTTCTTATGTCAAAATCTTTTAACACCCGATTGCCCTAGAATAAAGAAGTTGAGAACTTAAGCGAGAAAAAATATAAAGGAGGAGGAGATGATGATGATAAACACGAAGTAAAAGAATTAAAAGACGGATTGCATCAAAGCATGGATGTCTTTTACTACTTGTTATTGAGAAGTGAGAACTATATGATATTGAAAATTATTTCATAAATTTATGAGAAGAAATCACGGAGGCAATTGTCATCTCTCATGTTTGGACAAAAATTGAACTAATATAATTAAAATTTTAGGGAAAAGGAGTGCATTGTCATGGCTTCGGTTATTTCTAAGCACTCCGTGTGGCACTTAGACAATCACAAGCCTTACTTGATTATGCTAAGTTAGCCGAACTCACAAACTTGCAAGAAAGACAAGTAAGAAGACAAATAGAGTTTGAGAGAATGCCTTTATATTCACTTTGAGAAAACTCGTGCAACTCTTGGATGATGGATGGAACAAATGAGCCCCTCTCTTATTTATAGACATCTTAGGTCTTCTCTAGAATATTCCAGAACATACAAGAAAAAGACTATGGAGAAGCTTCTCATGGAAGCTTTCCTTATCTTACAAGAAGGATCTAGAATCCTCCCTAAAAATATTTATACAAACATCTACCTCATTCTAGAAGTAGGTACAAGGATTTTTTACCACCTCCATTTCTCTAAGAGGTTCTAGAAGCTTCTATTGCTTCCATCCCTCTAATATTCACTTAAATGCTATAAAACCTATTCTAGATCCTTTTAGGTATATTATAGAATTATGTACCATATTCTCATATTTTTTTCAAGTCTTTCAGGAGCTTCCATAATATTCCATTAGCCTCCCTTCCTTGACACTTCCTCTTGGTAGGCAATTCTGTCTAGGTAATTTGGCGGGACGTGACAGCGTGTTACGAAAACAAGAAGATCATGCAAATATTTTAGAAAAGGATTCTAGGAACTAATCTCAATGGGACATTGCCTGGTGCAATAGTAAAAGAATTAAAAATAGAACTTTAAAGGGTGACAAGACACATGCTGTCAAGGGAGATAACATGGTTCAATTCTAAAGGCATCCATTTTGAGTGAATAAAGACCAGAGGTCAGATCAATACTAGTCCACCCTCCCCAACACTCCGGGCGGATTAGACCAACAATAGGTGATGTCCAATAGCCTTTTCAACTGCTATTTCTAACTCTTATATTGATGAACAACAAACTTTAAAGTTATGACATTAAGTTGAGTCTGTTGGATCACTTAATATAAATTATCGAGCCCATTTCCTAGCAGCTTAAGTTTTTGGGATAATTAGTGACTTAACATGGTATAATAGCTCAAGTTGAGAGAGGTATTGGGTTCAAGTCTTACCGTTGGCATTTAGTTCTCTGTTTATCACCCCACATGCAAGACAAAGTTGTATGAGAGAGAGGGTGTTAAATATCTTGAATCTTGATATACTGTTGGGTCCATTTCCTACCAGCATAAGCTTTTGGAATAATTGGTGACTTAACAGAGTCACGATGATTAGTCATAATTTACTACAGGGGTAGTGAACAGAAAGGTGGCAATGCAAGATTCAATTTAAAAGAAAAGAGGAAAAACACGATTTCTAATCCAATTCCACAACTAAACACAGACCTGGATATATATATCAAAAACACGTCTTCCACGACTTTTCCAAATAATAGAATTCAGGATAGCCGTCTCTGCAAACTGGAGACTCACGTTATAATTACCATTCTCGAGCCCTAACCCATAGTATCTTAATGATCCGGCAGATATTCGTGCTGTCTGGAACAGCTCTGACTCCAAAGTTTGTGTGAACTGAGATGAAGAGAAACTTATATACTGAGGCTGGCTGCTGTCGATGAAACGTCCAACATTACTTACTGCCCACCTGTTTTCACTGGTAACATAATATGTAGCTGGACCCAGAGTCTCGTTATCCCTCTCGTAAATAATCTGATTATTAGATGTAATCTGTGGACCACCGCACTTGATTGAAAAGTTATAGTCTGTCAATTAACAGGAAAGAAAAAAGTTATCAGATTGAATTCAATTAGGTCATTCAATTAACAAAAAGTAAATATCAGCTATATCTCGTCGTTCATATATGTTTTATTGGTTCAATGCACTTTATGGCTGGGAATTCTCTCAACAATAGAAAGACAAATTTGAGTTCATTCTGTCCACTACACCAAATTATATAATCTATGTTTCAAAATTGCATATTAAAAATTTATGAGTAAAAATTCATACACTGATCTCAAATAGATGTAATCCATTTTATCCTCGTGCTATGGATGTACATATTCTACTCTCAGAATCATAGTTTAGGAAATTTCTAAACTGCACTTACAGACAGGAAAATTTCGGTTGCAGGGAAAATTCCTTTGAAGACACCTCAATCCTGAAGGCAGAACACTGGAAGAAGAGGAAGAATGCATATTGTAATAGTTTCCTTTAGTTGTCAAACAATCATATAAATCTTTAGTGTTTCTTTAGTTATCAGGAAATCATATCAAATCTAATACACAAGACCATTATAAAGAATGCATAAGAGAAATAATGTATATTGAAATACAAAAACATAATTATAAAGAGTAAATCCCGTTCAACTGCACACAAAAAGAATGGGAGGAGAAAAAAGTTCTAGACTATAGATAAGATCAATGAAATATTCCATATCTTCAAAACTAGAAAGGTGCCATCATCATTATTTCACATATATTTATGAGCACATATTAGCATCATAAAAAGGTTCAAAAAACTATTACATTTAGCAACACTGTCACGCATGTTTGATTGCTCAAGCAGGTGCTGGTAACCAACTCATGTTCAATGCTAAAACAATTTAATGGGAAAGAAACTTACTTTCGTTTAGTGTTGTCGTTTCATTGAATGTTCACAATCATATGTAATAAAAACAAAAGCATACAGCAAGGAGAGAATCACCTGTTGTTTGAACTTTCTACTGTGAAGTTATTGGCCACTAAATTACTGCATATTACACCCCAGAAAATCTCAATGTCAGTTTCAGTTTCAAGGGTACAAGTCAATGTAGAAGATATGCACAAATGATACAAAATGCAGTTTATAATAAAAATTTGGAAGAAGAAAATCTTAAAATTTAGAAGTCGGCCGTCAAACTATTGCAAGATACCAGGATGGTATACCATGACTATTGAAAATGAAAAACGGAGAGAGAGAGAGAGAGAGAGAGAGAGAAATTGTATTTACATACAGTTGTAAGTCTTGTTTGCCGATCCAAGAAGGAAAGCTCCCAGATAATTCATTGTATGACAAATCTCTGTAGACAATAACATAATAGGAAAGTTCAGTTGATATTCCATCCTATGACCAATAACTTGGTTATTTTAATTTAATTTTGCTTATTTGTTAATTAATTAATTATTATTTTTTATTTCTCTCCATACATACATGTACACATGTATACTAGGATTGTTGCCTTGCCTATTACATGATTTTCTTGCACACGTAGCAGGGTTGTCTAAAAAATATGTTGCTGTCGATAAACATCAAATGGCAAAAATGATTAATCTGTGATGTATCATTGGAGTTCAATAGTTGATTATGCTTTTGAGTCTATATATAATCATGAAACTTGAGAAACTGTGTATTAGAAAACAAACATCTCTTGATAATTGTTATAGACAAAAGAAGGAATGAACTTCAAAACTTACAAAAGGAGTTTGTTGATAACACCTATTTACAAGTGTTTAAAGTAAACTGTGAATGGTTATATACGAAATACTTACATATTCAGGAGAGATGTACTCATTTGGGTAGGAAGGGTACCAGTTAATTTATTATTCCCAAGAAACCTGAGCATAAAGAAATTAGTTCAAGGAATAAAGAGTACATGCTGGGAGTTTTTTTAAAACAACAATGCAGAAGATGTTTATTACAAGTAAGAGAGAAAACTCAAATTGAACAGTGCATCCGGAATCTGTCCAGCTAAATTGTTGAAGCTCAAATCCCTGGATAATTACATAAACCATGGTTGTAACAAAGAAAAGGTAAAATGAGTTAGATAATAAAGTAAAGGGTCTTGTTAGAATGTGCCGTAGGGTCACATGTTAAGAAGGCTTAAAAAGATTGTACATTCTTTATTGCACGTATTTCAAATAAAATGTACAATCTTTTTAAGTTTCTTAACATGTTTGCTAAGAGCATACGTTAACCAAATCCTAAAGCAAAATCATTAACAAATGTTTACATCATAGAGTTGGCTGGCTACTTTGATCCCCTCTTTCCCAACCAAATTATGAACTGGCCAGTTTTTAGGTTGAAGTATATGGGACCAACTCAAAATCAACAGCAATAACTTACAGATGTTCTAAACTTTGATAATCTCCGATATTGGATGGAATTGAACCATAAATATTGTTATTCCTGAGAACTCTGCAGGACATGGTATGTTATTTCGTAAAAGAGCATTGGGGAATAATGAAAATGAAAAAGTAACACAGCAAATTATTGTACTATAACCATATCGCCTTACAGGGTGCCCAGAGACATCATATTCTTAAGAAACTCCAGTGAAGAGCTACTGTTAGATAAATCACTTATTCTCCTACATTAGTACACGTTACAATATAAGAAAGAATATTAGCTTTATTGATATGCTAAATATGAACAAAATCCATTGAAAGAGTTAACACTCACAAATCTGTCAACAATTTTAAGTTGGAAAATGTCGATGGGATCGCACTTCCAAATGAGTTTCCCTGAAATCTCCTACAGAAAGTTAAGATGCAGCTGATTTATTGATTATGCAAGAGAGGTTGCTGAATATTGGTGTAAGTACCAATTTTTGTTTTTTTAGGTACATAATATAATATGGATGTGCAGATAGGTTAGTTTACACATCCGCCAGGGAGCATTGCCCCTTAATACCCACAAATATCTGTTGAAACCAACATCGCATCTACGTCAGGGCCGAAGCTAAGGTTCCACCATACTCTGGGTATTAAGAAGTAGGTGTAACCCCAATAATCCGTTATGGAGGAGACTTGAACCCAAGCGTTAAGTACCAAATTTTACATCTCAGTTACTATACATTGAAAATGTAGTTTAACGTAAAGCCATAATTTGAGTGTTAGTATTAACTAAAGAAAATACAACATGCATATTGCTTACAAGGTAGTAAGCTTTGACCAATTCCCAATGAAGTCAGGTATGTTGCCATTCAGTTCAGTATCTGAAGCCCACCTGGGATCCCCAAACATTCTTCCTCGGTAAATTTGAAATATTTAAATTGAATGAAATATGTATCCAATAAGTTTCTTAGAAAAGGAAAAAAGATATGTTAGAAAGCTCTTACACTGTTTGCATGTTTTGTAGAGCAGCAAATGATGAAGGTATAGCTCCACTAAGTCCAGAACTATCAATGTAGCTATCAAGGTGGATAATGTTCATCAAAAAGATGATACACTAGTAAATGTAAATTTTGCACAATAAGGATAAATCAAGATTTGACAGGTACGACTCACAAGATGGGTTACACATACACAAGACAACCATGATGCTCTCAGGTCTAAGGATTACATGCACAATTGTAACTAATGAGCATCTATTTGACAAGTAAAAATCTGTGTAGACATTCATAAATGGTTACATTCAATGAACTTGCTCTTTAACAAGAACCCACATGTTTGCCTCAGTGTTTCTACATTAGTGACTTGAGACTAGCTACTCTCTCAATTGAACCAACATAACATGTGCTAGTATTACCAAATTTTTAATTCCCAATTAATAATCCCATGATCAGTTCATTTAAGAATAAAGTATAGAGAAGTAAAAGTCTAATATTCTTAACTTTGAAGAACAAGTATAGTTAACCCAATTTTATGGATTTATCATGTAAAGAATAATATACATATTAAACATGACAAGAAAACTTGTCATATGCTTTGATTAAATGATAATATTGTTTTACAAAATTGTACCAACCATATCTTCCAGATTGACTTTTAGGGCACAAGACTAACAACACCAACTCAACATCTAAATCTAAGGCTAAGTCAGATATAAATCTCATCTGGCCAAAATATTGGATACACAGACTAAGGACAGGACCACTTTTAGAGGTAAGAAGAGAAAAGTGAATAGGAAGAAGGTATTGGTGCGCTTTCACATCTAAACAGTACACACACCTATGACAGCTTCAGATATATGATGAGCATGATCAACGTATATATGTATCTCTCAACTCAATTGCAGTAACACAATAATAGTTTATTAGAGGGCATTATACTCTACCATTTATGAATCCTATTCGTATGGATAACAAATGTAGTCCAACAAGAGAAGCAGCATTCTTTTGGAAAATTAAATAAAAAGTGAGCAATATCTCAGCACTTACAGTTGCTCCAATTTTGCTAAATTCCCAAGCTCTGATGGTAGAGGGCCAGAAAAGTCATTTGAACTAATGGACCTAGAAAATAGCAAGTAAATAACATCAAATAGTTTGAATATGATATTTGAATGGGATGCAGGAAACAGGTATGTCATTAAATTACTTGCATAAGTGATTCAAATGTTCCATTCAATTAGGTCCTGAATAACACTATAGCAAAAGACTGAGATTTTAAAACAACAATCAAGAATAGCAGAAGGCAATTTTGGAGAAAAGTATTTGTTGACGCATATATATCGGGAAATTCTATTCACACATTATAGAAAATATCAGTACACACCATTTGTGTCGTTTGGATATGAAAAAGTCAAATGTTTGGACATAACATTCCAAGCAAAAAATAGTTGTTTGTATATAAACTATTGAAAATAATGTATATCTAAACAATTCATTTATATTCAGGAAGTTTATGCCCAAAAATTTGATTTTTGTTTGGAAGTTTATATCCGAACAAGACAAATGGTGTGTACTGAGATTTTGATATCCAAACAACTGCTTTTTATTCAAAAGTTTATGTCTGAACATTTGACTTTTGTTGAGAAGTTTATATTTGAACGACATAAATAATGTGTACTGAGATTTTACGTGGTGTGTGAATAGAATTACCCATGTACATGTGCTTAAAAGGTGGCATAAAGTTGCCTTGCAAGTTGCAATCAATTGAAATTCAAAACATCAAGCTGCCTCTAAAACACATACAAAATTAAGAATAACATACAGTGATATTAAATTAGTAAGTTTTCCAAGTTCCACTGGAAGCTCTCCCGATAATGCATTAATACCCAAGCTCCTAACAGAATTAAATGAGATATCAGAACATTACATATATAATATTAATGACCTGCAAAATGTAAATAGAAAGTGGGGTAACTTTACAGGTACTGCATGCGAGTTAGATTGCCAATGGATGCAGACAGGGGACCTATCAAGTAATTTTGGGCTAAATTCCTACAACATATGAAAGAAACTTTAGTCTCATTAACAACATTAAACCACTGAGCCGCACATAACACATGCTTCACTGGCAATATTCTACATCACAATTTCATGGGCTGCAGTTTGACACTCCTTAGTTTACACAGAAAATGTAAAATGATATATAACAAGGAAAACGATAAATTTGTGATCTTTTTAATTAAAAAAAAAAATGAACCATACAAATCGGCAAGGTAAGTCAAAGTCCAAAGCTCATCTGGGATTACACCAGCAACATCTAATGCATAGACTTTCCTGTAGAAAATGGGAGAAAAAGGTAAGTAGTAAGCAAAATAATTGAACAAGCAGTATTAAGTGCTCAAGTTAACAAAATCAAGGTACTGAACTTTCAACTACCTAGTACATAATGGCCTTGTTTGGTAGGGCTTATTTTCAGCTTATTTTAGCTTTTAGCTTAATTTAAGCTATTTTGATGTGTTTGGTTCAGCTTAACAATGTAGCTTATAGCTTTTTGTAAGTCAAAAATCAACTTATTCTTTGAGTGGGAGAGGAGAAGCTTAATTTTTAAGTCAAAAATCAGCTTATGTTCACAGCTATAAACTATAAGCTATTAGGTTATAAGTTATAATCACTTTCCCACAGCTCTACCAAACAGGGCCAATGTTGCCTTATACAGAAATTGATGGATGACTTAAAAAGTTCACTCCACTTGGAGTGAATTCAAACTTTGGATTTGAATCGACTTTCACTAACTTGTAGTAGGAAATTAATTTTTTTTTTTTTGGTGATGATTTGGTGTCCAGGCTAGCTTACACGCACGTCAACTAATCCCGGGACCCACGTAAAATGCCCCCTCCACGTAGATCAGGCAAATCTCGAGCAGAACTCGCAGGTGTGGCCCCAATGAGTTGATAGCACCTAGTGGGAGTTAAACCTGTGACTTGGATGGAGCACACCCTAGGCCCCAAACTGCACCCACTAGGCCAACCCCTCGGAGTTGTAGGAAATGAGTTTATGAGAACAACAATGTCAATAATAATTTGTCCTTTTTACTTGAGTTCTTCAATTGGTACTACTAAAGCAATATTCTCAACAATCACATCCATTTTTATTGCCTCAACCCATGTTGTTCCTAGCCTTCTATCATTTCTTTTACCATCTTCAACATGGCTCTACGTTACAAATGGCCATACCTCTCAAGAATTTTTCCTGCATTTTATCTTCAATCCGTACCACTTCTAAGAGAAACTCCACTAGTCATTGCCAAAATAGCAATGCCAAACCGTCAATTTGACATGCTTCAATGCCAGTGTGCTAAATTTTGTCTACGTTGCTCCATTGGTGCAAATGTCATTTTGACATATCCATAACATTGCTTATTTCCACTCATTGGATTTCTTACATACAAACCATTGATCAAAACCCTCTCTTGGGTGAGTTGAGTTGGCACACATAGCATTGTCAAATCTTGTGCCAAATCAGGCACAAGGTTTGACAATGCCATTTTTTGACAGGCCATTGGATAAGGTTTCTTTAGTAGATTTGCTATAAGCCACTATAGCAGCTGGCAAAGTTGCCCTAATGTGGCATAAATTTATTATTCTATGCTTTCTTTATAGTATTAATCATACATCTCAATATTTTAACTGTCCAACATTCTACACCACACATTATAGCAGACCTAAACGAATGAGAAATTTAATAACATGGTCAGGAAGTTGGAGATCATATTGAACAAATTGCAGCTTTAATATACATATATATGAATTGGACCGTATGTCAAACATGCGGGGGTTACGTGATGAAAATCCAAGCATTTGCTACTTACAAGTGGGTAATGTGGCAAATAGTCCCATTGCATTCGCATTTGATCCCAGGATTGTAATTCCCATTGGTGGTCTCGATGCTGGTTCCGTCGATGGCAGCTCCACTACATGGTTCTCCCCCTACGTTCCATTGATTTGATGGTGCCACTATTGCCCATTTTTTGAAGATGGAATTCAAAGCAGTCACTGCCAACCAAATTCATAAACAATGATAACAAGATTGAACATCTCTTATAATAAAATAAAATAAAATGTATATACATTTTAAGCTTTGTTAACCAATATTTTGGGGCAGCCCATTCATAATCACACCGTATATGTTATTGATTAGGGTAAATTACAAGCACACTTGTAGTTTACTTAAATTATAAATTACTCTTTTATGCCCTCCAAAGTTTCTAATTTCATAATAAATAAGTTCTTTTATTAATAAATCATCAAATTAATAATATTAAAAGTTTATTTCAATTAATAATATTAACCGTTTTTAATAATATTAAAATTTTATTTCAATTAATAATTTAAATAATTACATTATTGTATTGGTGAACAGTTAAATTTTTTTTTTCAATTAATTATATTAAATAAAAAATTCTGACAAGAAAATAATTGTAATTTTTTAAACCATAAAAAATAATTCATATTTTAAACAAATTTCAAAGAATATATTTATAATTTACCCTATTGATTATACATTACTAGTAGAGACACAACATTGCATGTATGTGTGGTACAACTAAAGCGAATTCATAATTTGGGAGGATGAATAATTTTGAATGGGTAAATTTTACAATTTGAGATAAACATAATTTTTTTACACAATAAAAAGTTTTTTTTTGGTTGTTGAATTATTTAAAATATATAAAATAAAAATGATGATGAAAAATGATGATGAATTTTTTACACATAAATTTTAATCCATTTTATTGGTAAAAAAATGATGAAAAATTATTTGAATTGTATTTGAAGAAATACAACAATGATTCATCCCCCTTTTTCCTCCACCCCCTTTGACCCCCTCTCTCTCTCATTGGTTATATTTTCTTTTTCTTTTTCTTTTTTTTCCTTCTCCTCCAATCACCACTCGCCACGTGACAAAGGGGGTGAGAGGGTGACCCCCAAAAGGGGGTCCCAAGCATTATTCGAAGAAATCAACAATGATTCATCCCCCCTTTTCCCTCCACCCCCTTTGACCCCCTCTCTCTCTCATTATGTACCAAAAAAAATTATATAGGTTACTCAATAAAAAAATAGTCGAATGCAACTAAAGTCATGATTATTGAATTAAATCATATGTGTTCTAAATTGATAGTATAATCTAGCAAATAAACTAATAATAACAGAGATATATTGACAAATATATAGTACTTCCCTACCATCTTTGTATTATATTCATTTTTTTTTATTAGCAAAAAGACGATTTATTGATGATAACAACAAAGTACAATCAAATTAAATCAATAAAATAGGGAAGAGTACAAAGTATCATAACTAATCTTCACAATCCCAATTAGGTTGGTACGACAAAGAAAGCACAATCATATGCTAGCTGTTAACCCAAGATTGGTGAGAAACCAATCAAACACAGACACAAGCATAAAAACAGAACAACAACCCAACAAACCCAAACAAACAATAACACTCTACAGCAGCACCAAACCAATAAGCTTCCAATAGCAGTAAAAGCCACTTTTCCCTAGGGCAACCTCGTAAGCTTCATACAGTAGCAAGCCACACAGTAGCATATAACAGCAACAGCATCAAAAGCCACTTTTCCCCAGGGCAACCTCATAAGCTTCACACAGTAGCTTATAGCAGCAAGCCTCCGAATAACATCAAACTTTATAAACAACATCAGCAAAACACCCAGACAGCTGCGGCAGTAGCACATCAGCAAAACACCACTACCTTATAAACAACATCAGCAGCAGGACACAACAGCAGCAACACACATCAGAAGCAGCTACGGATCAGACCCAAATTGGAGATGAAATCATGAAATGAATACATGTTGCCAATGTGATGGTTCTTTACCCAGTAAGCCACTCTGACTTTAATTAATTCAGATAAAACCTCTAGATTTGGTTGAGCTCCCTTAAATAAATAATTATTTATGAGCCTCCATAATGACCACACCACTACAATAGGAATGGTATTCCATATCCTGAGCTCCTTCTTTTTGAACTTGAAACCAAACCACCAATAATGCAACTCATTTACAGAGTTAGGCAAAACCCATTGAGTTCCCCACCAATCAATTACAGCAGACCATATCTTCCAAGCAAAGGGACAAAGCAACAAAATATGATTAAGATTTTCAGGCTCAGAATTACAAAACAAGCACAAGGGAATATAGGTATCCCTTATCACACCAGTCTTTTGAAAGAAATCAGTAGTCTTAAGTTTACCTCTCCACACCAACCAAAATAGAAATTTGGCTTTCTGAGGAGCTACATTGTTCCAAATAAATTTTGATAACTCCACAACATGACCCTCATCAGCTTGAAGCCACCCATACAATGATTTGACTTGAAAAATCCTAGAAGGAGAAGCCAACCATCTGATGTGATCCTCACGGTTTGCCCTCAGTTCAGGACCCTTACCCAGAATCTGTATCAATCTAAGCAATTCCTTCTCTTCCCAAGCACGAAGGGGTCTTCAAAAATTCAAAACCCACCTTCTATTTTCAACCTTTTTATTAACATACCACTTTAGAGATTCATGAGGCTCAGTAGATAAACCAAACAGTCTAAGAAATTGATTGTCCAAGCTTGATTCACCAATCCACTTGTCACACCAAAAAAGAATCCTATTGCCATCTCCAATAACAAGATTAATATTGCCTAATAAATAGGCAACCACATTTGGTAATAAAGCAGCCACTAACATTATATCTCTCCAGATCCTGGACTCATGATTTATAGCACCAGAAATAGGGAAAAAGGATCCATTCATGTGACTATAATTACTACTAATCAACTGTCTCCACAAAGCCATCTTTTCAACCCCAAACCTCCACCACCACTTAACTAATAAACACAGATTCACCTGTCAAATATTCTGATCCCTAACCCTCCATGATATAAAGCCTTTGTCACCCCCCTATTGTACTAAATGAACCTTCCTTTGATTATCCGATTCACCCCATAAGAAAGAAGCTTGCAGTCTGTTGGCAACACACTCAGGCACCTTAACCAGAGATAAGTAATAGACTGGGAGACTTGACAGGACTGATTTGATCATGGTAACTCTATCAGCATAGGACATCAATCTCCTCTTCCAGCTTGCAAGTCTTGCTTTGATCTTATCCAAGATAGGTTTCCAGGTTTATTTCTTTCAAGGATTTGCACCGAAAGGTAAACCAAGATAAACCATAGGAAGATTATGTTGTGAACAATGCAGTCTAACTACAAAATCCTTTACTAGCTAGGTTGAAATTCCAATGCCACAAACAACACTTTTTTTGAAAATTAATTTTCAATCTAGAAATGATTTCAAAGCATCTAAGGATCCTCTTAATAATGATAAGTTCACTCCAATCAGCTTCACAGAACAAAATTGTATCATCTGCAAATTATAGATGGGAAACAACCAAGCCATTGAGACCAATGATAGCTCCTCTAATCAAACCATGCTCCTTTGCTCTAGAAAGCAAAATATTTAACCCCTCTGCTATGACATTAAATAGGAAAGATGAAAGTGGATCACCTTGCCTTAACCCTTTCCGAGGATTAAACTCAACTATAAGAGAGCCATTTTACAACACCGAGATACTATGAGAAGTCACACAAGCTTTAACCCACCCTATCCATCTAGCTCCAAATCCAAATTTTTGAAGCATATCAAGTAAATACTCCCAATTCACAGTGTCATAGGCCTTCTCAAAGTCCAACTTGAGAATTACACTTTTTGTTTTTGTTTTCTTCCACCAATCCATAATCTCATTTGCTATGAGCACCCCATCCATTATATTTCGACCCCTTAAAAATGCAGACTGATTCTCACTAATCACCTCAGGTAACACCTTCTTCATTCTAAATGATAGGACCTTAGATAAAATTTTATAAACTACACCAATAAGACAAATAGGTCAATAATCCGAAAGACTTGATGGATTAAGCTTCTTTGGGACAAGAGTAAAGAAAAAGCACTTTAAACCTTGGACCAATCTACCATTCGCATGAAACTCCTTCATAAAATTCATAAAGTCATGCTTCAAAATACTCAAACATTTCTGTATGCAAGAGAAATTAAATCCATCAGGTCCTGAGGCCTTGTTCCCATCACAGCTTTTAATAGCAGCCCACACTTCAGATTCAGTGAATTCCACCTCCAAATCAGCTGTTGATTTAGTGTTAATAGATTTTAGCATACCAACCAACTTGGACATATGCTCCCAAATCTCAGAAAACAAGCACTTAAAGTGCCTTACTACCTCCTGTCTCACCTCATTAGGTTGCATGATATCTCTGCCATTGACTTGAATACAATCCAACATGTTCTTACATTGTTTGCTTTTAGCCATAACATGGAAACATCTAGTGTTCTTCTCACCCTTTAATGCCTAGTTCAATCTAGATTTTTGAAGCCATACCCACTCCCCCATTTTTCTCAGTTTCCATACTTCTTCAAGTAAATTTCTTCTTCTACTAACTTCCTGATCATTCAGACTTCTACCCTCAGCTTCTAGGTCTAGGGCATGAAGCTCTGCCTTAGCTACTTTTAGTTTGGAATCAACATTACCAAAAACCTCATGATTTCACTCCTTAAACTTTGATTTGAGGATGAGAAGTTTGCCCTTAACAACAAAACCTGCCCATCTGAACACCTGTGCCTCCATCCAAGTCTTTTTAACCAAAGGTAAAAAACCAGGATGCAAGGACCAAGAGTTGAAAATTTTAAAGGGCTTCGGTCCTGAATCCCTTTGGTCTTCCATAAGTAATAATGGATAGTGATCAGATAAGATTCTGGGCAGACTCCAGACTTTAAAATCAAATAACTCAAGCCACTCAGGATTGAGGATAAATTTATCAATCTATTCTACCTATCTCCATCAATGGAATTACTCCACGAATATTTTCTTCCCAACATCGGAATATCAATAACTTCCATTTTTTCAATAAAATCCCCAAAATCTTTCGTCCCCCTATTTCTTCGTAAACACCCTTTTCTCTCACCAATGGATC